GCCTGACCCCATCAGTGCCGACCCAACTACACCACCACGCGCATGCCTCGCGGCGGATATGCGCAGCAGCAAGAAGGTTTCGGTCATCCCTTGAGGGTGAGTCTAGCCCTGCTCGCCAGAAAGACCCCCCCCTTCGCTACAACCCATGTCTAAGCAAAAGCTTGTCGGGGAGCGAGGGGAAGAAGGTGACAATAGAATGACATAAACACGAAGAAAAAATGTAGTTGGTTGTGCAGGTGAGTCTGCTCATTGCTCCCTCGCGCCAGCCATCTCGAAACGTTTTCGCAACATAATCTCGTCGTGTACAAGAATAAGTGTGTATGAGTATAGACTACTGCTGTATTTACGTGTGTATTATGTTATGTGCGATTTCGATGCTGCCTGCTACTCCCACCATGTCGCGTGCTCTGTGTGTGGTGAATGAAGTCTGGGTGGATGAACTGTGGGTGGATGGTCGATAATGTATAGTCTGCTGTGTGGAGTGAGTGTGGTGGTGATTCAAGAGTGCTTCAACAACACACACAATAGGCGGTTAGCGCTGATCGTTGATTCGGGTGGCTCAGTTGTGTGTGATGGGAGTGTAGAGCAGCTCGGCCATGACGGGCCGTAGGGGTAGGTAAAGTCGCACAGACGTGTTGAAAAACGTGTTGTATAACTTGTTGTATCCGTGTATTGATCGGGGGCGTGCTTGAGCTCGTCATTCCATCACGGCATCAAGTCACGCATAACGCTCAAACACCCAAAACGAATCTCCATGAATGTCCACCAATCTACCACACTCCCAAGGAAAACATAAAGAAACTTCTTGTTCCTCCGTAGTTCGTCACTGCAATACCCGCATATGTATACGCAGTATACCACACCCGCATGCTATGCTACGAGTATATCGAATAAGCGCGGTCGATGCAAATAATAAAAACCCAAACTCAGTCGGTGGGTGTGGTTACATACATCCGCGTACGTCCCCCATCCAAAGACAACAAACATCGTTACGAGTTCTGCTGCTGTTGGTAGCTGCTACAGAACCTCGGTAATTGGTCTATGTTGGGTACGTATGTTGGACGTACTCACAGCATCGACAGATTATTGCAAGCAAGATTTCCG